GCCCGTGCGTGAGCGTGTGCGCGCGACCCCCTGTGTCCGGAAGGCGACAATGAAGGTGGACAGAGGTAAGTCGATGTATATTGTTTATGGAAACCCTGAGACAACTTTCTCACGGTGCATTCCCCTGGCTGTGTCTCACATTAAAGTCTGTATTGGGTGGGTGCAGGAGGTGGTATCTGTGTCCTTTCTGATGTCTTTCCCCTCACCCTGGGAGCCCCTTCCAGGCGCACAGATGATTGTGGCCATGAAAGCCATCTCCCTGGGCTTCGACCTCGATCGGGGCACGGTCATCGCGATGCCTTCCCCAGTCGCATTTATGGGCTACATCTACTTTGTGGGGACAGTGATCTTCGGGCCTTGGATAAACTTCAGCAGTTACATGAAGGCAGTGGAAAGCCAGAGGATGGTGAGTGTGTCTGGGACCCTCGGCGCTGACCCCCTCACTCCCCCTCCGACAGTGCGGCGGTCCCTCGACGCTGACCCCCTCACACGCCCTCCGACAGCACCTGCTCCCTCGGCACTGACCTGCTCACTCCCGCTCTGACAGTGTGCCCCCTCACCCCCGGCGCTGACCCTCCGACAGTCCCCCTCTGACAGCGCCCGCTCCCTTGGCGCTGGCCCTCCGACAGCGCCCGCTCCCTCACCCTCCGACAGCGCCGCTCCCTAAGCCCCGACCCTCCGGCGCCCACTCCGATATGTCGGCCGTTGACGGTGTGTCTGTGTGCCTCTCCCCGCAGACCCGCAGCTGGTTTATGAAGGTGTCGGGAAGTCTGCTGAAGAGTTTGCTGTGCTTGGTGGTCTCCACGTGTGTCGCCCCTTATCTCTTCCCCTACTTCATCCCTGTCCAGGGGGAGAGAACACTCAAAAGGTGAGTGGCTATTTGGGAGCGAGGCACCTCATTTCCTCTCCCACACCCTCTCTTTCGACAGTGTGCCACTTGACTACCTGTCTCGCTCCTCTACACAACCGTGCCAGGTTCCCGCTCACCAACACCCTCCCATCCTACCCCCGAGATAGGTCAGGAGAGATAAGGGAGCGGTGAGCAGAAGATTTGGAGGGATATTTTGGATACACGGGCAAAGGTGGGGGGTGTGGGGCGTGGGGGGGATGGGAGGGTGGGTCGCAGAAATGTTAGAATTCCACAGCTCGGAGCCCCAGACATGCACACGCACTCAAGCCAACACCCCCAAAATGCTGGAATGAGTGCCGCGTGGAGATCGCTGAGAGCCATAGGAGGCGACAGAGAAAGGGAGGGGTTGTAGGGGTCTGGAGGGGGTGACAGAGATAGGGAGGGGGCTGGAGGGGGTGACAGAGATAGGGAGGGGATGTAGGGGTTAGAGGAGGTGACAGAGATAGGGAGTGGGTGTAGGGGTTAGAGGAGGAAACAGTGATACGGAGGGAGTTTAGGGGCTGGAGGAGGTTTTTTTTGCTGGCTGGCAAAATAAAGAAAAATGCAGTAGTGTTTCAGCATTACCTCTCACGCACTGCTTTAACAGAAATCCCCATGGCTACAGACATGCTAACCAGTCAATGATTAACTTTGGACACATAGAAATCTCACAGGATACACAAAGACAAAGCCCAGCCTTAGGACAGAGTCAATAGGGGAGGTGATGGCCCAGTGGTATTATCGTTGGACTGTTAATGCAGAGACCCCGATAACGTTCTGGGGACCCGGGTTCAAATCTCACCAGGGTAGATGGTGGAATTTGAATTGAATAAATATCTGGAATTAAGAATCTAATGATGACCGTGAATCCATTGACGATTGTTGGAAAAACCCATCTGGTTCACTAATG